AAAAAAAAAAAAAAAAAAGTATAATGTTCCTAACAAGTACCTGGTACCTAGTCAAAAAGACTAAAGATAATATTTCAGTTTTTTAAAACAAATAATATAGTAATGAATAATATTTTTCAATGAAACCTTTTAAACATTTTATTATAATTATTAACATATTAATTATTGAAATTAAGAAATATTCTTCTATTGCATTCTTATTGCCTAGATTTTAGCCAGTTGGCACTGTTTTTGATGGACACTCGGGAGTTAGCGGTGTAATTTTTGTTTAACTCAGAGCTATTACTTTATTTTATGCATCCAGTTCATAGAAACTGCGGCTTATAAAGATCTCACAGTACGGCCAGGCCTCAGCGCCCGAGTCTGGCAGACACCGGGCGGTGGAGGACGGGCGCAGAGCTGCGCAGGTCCGGTTGCCAGTCGAGGGGTGCTGCGCCTGTCTCTGGCCGTTGTGTTCCCCTTGCTCCGTTCTGGGCGAGGGAGGGGGCCGAGGAAGGAAGGGCCGTCTGCGGGAGGACCCCTGGCAGTGCTGCCTGTCCCTGTCCCGGAGTCCTGACTGCGCTGGACTTGTGTCTTGGCCTTCGGAACCCTGGGACAGACCGGAGAGGAAGGTGTCACCTCAGGTTGTCGCCTCCCTGCGAGCTGATGTGCGGGAGCGCTGGCTTTTGTGGAGGCTTTGTAGGCGGGGCGCGGCCTACAGTCCTGAAGCGGAGGCGTGGGCGTCGTGCGTCTTTCCGTGAAGTCACGCGACAGAGGCTTGATGTCCCTGAGCTTCCGGTTCTGTGAGCTGCTGGGGCAGCCCGTGGGGAGACCTCGCTCTGCTCCCTGGCCAGTGGGGGCGTAGTGACCGCCGTGGACCCGCCGTGAAGCGCTGGGCAGGGTGAAAACGAATGTGTGCTGTGTGCACCCAGACTCGCCCTCGCCCTACCTTACGCAGCTGCCTTGGGAAAGCCGCTTTCACGCCAGCTCCCTTCTGGCCACAGGCGGTTCTCTTTGTGAGCTCTGAACGCGTGTGCACGCTTGCTGCACGGGGCATTTCCATTCCCTTTTTCTTTTGCGCAGTCCTGGCGTTGAGCACTGGGCCTTATGCTTGGCGGGAAGGCTCTGTACCAGTGCTCCACACGCAGCCTGCCTCCACTTCCTGGTGTTAGGAACCCCGGGAAGACCTCGAGGGCGCTGCCGAAGGACATACCGGGAGTGTTTTAGGCTGTTCTCCTGGGACAGAAGGATGAGTGTGGACGACTTCACTGACTTCAGGCGGGGCCCTCGGAGGCTGTGGCCGCTCCTGTGGGCCCAGCCTGTGCTGGGGCTGAGACGCTTCCGGACACCCCGTGATTGTGGTGTTGGCTCCACATTTATAGGGTCAGGAGTCTAATTGGGTCGTACCCTTTATTTGATTTTCCTTCCTGAAACCACACTTCGTTGATCTCCATGGAATTCAGTTGAAGTAAGAGGGTCTCGGCTTGCCCGTCTCTGGGACTCAACACCCATTTTACGGCTCAGGTGTCTGAGGCCACTTTGTTTCTTGCTTCCTGTGAAACCCTCTGCTACTGGAATTCAAAGCTTTCACCACAAGGTGTCGCTGCCGAGCTAAACTGCCTGGAGCGCAGAACCTTAGGACGATAAAGTTGCTCTTTAGAAATTAAAATTTTTCTATCATTGTCACATAGTATAATTTTGAAATTTTCCATTATATTGATGACACTTTCCTTTGAATCTGTAAAAATTATTTGACGATTACTGTTCACAATATTCATCTTTCACTCCACATATACTGGGTACTAGGTCCTATTATAGTACGGATGTGAAAAGAACAAAGTAAATTCAGGAATCATCTATGTGCTTAGACTGCACACCAGCTGTGTTCAGAGTTTGGAGCCTGGACACAGCTCTTTGCTGCGAGGGGTGTGGATTTATGGAGACT